ATCTGCATTCAAAGAGGAGAGAGAATTGTTGCAATTTAGGGGGAAGTGCTCTAACAGAGGTTGAACCCAAGGTGGGATTTCTAAATAGGATGACATCACTTCTGACTGGGCAGATCTGAACCTTGACTGATGATGAGTAAGATTTTCAATAAACAGAAATAATCAGAAGGTAGGGGCAGGTGAAATGGAAGACCATTCTTGGCAGAGAGAAGAGCATGAGTTAAGGCACAGGACTGGACCTATCTGGAGATGGAGTTACCCATTGCGACCTAGCAAAGTGTGATATAAAGAAGTGGACTGTGAGGCTGGAGAGCTAGGTTGGGTCCAATTCTCAAAGAGCTTTGATGTTGGGGTGCCTGGGTGGCTCAGTTGGTTAAGCTACTGCCTTCGGCTAGGGTCATGATCCCGGAGTCCTGGGATCGAGTCCCGCATCTGGCTCCCTGCTCAGTGGGGAGCCTGCTTCTCCTTCTGACCCTCTCCCCTCTCATGCTGTTTTTCTCTCTCTCTCTCTCGCTCTCAAAAAAATAAATAAAATCTTAAAAAAAAAAAGAGCTTTGATGTTGGGTAACTGAGTCACTATTTTACACCTTAGGAGGAAGGCAGGGTGAACAAGGAATTTATTATCTGAGCTGGAACAATTTTGAGATGACAAATGGCACTGTGAACATTTGTGCCAAAACAAGTTATTTTTTTTTAAAGAGATTTTATTTATTTGAGAGAGAGAGAATGAGAGAGAGAGAAAGCACATGGCGGGGGGGAGGGTCAGAGGGAGAAGCAGACTCCCTGCCGAGCAGGGAGCCGGATGCTGGACTTGATCCAGGGACTCCAGGATCATGACCTGAGCTGAAGGCAGTCGCTTAAGCAACTGAGCCACCCAGGCGCCCCCAAAACAACAGTTATAACGTGATACTGGTCTGGGCAAACTGGGACCTATGGTCACACTGGTAACTGGGAGACTCTACAAAGAGAAGCTTGAATTGGGAGGAGACTTCCAGAGAACAGCCACATGGGGCGGGTGGGCCTAGGAGTCCTGGATTCATTCCCCATGTACCACCCCAAAGTACCACAAACTGGGTGCTTAACACAATAGACATATATTCTTTCATGATTCTGAGAGCTTGAAGTATAACATCAAGGTGCTCGTAGGGCCGTGCTGGCTCTGAAGGCTCTAGAGGACGATCTTCTCTGGCTTCTTCCTAGCTTCTGCTGGCTGCCAGTTACCCCTGGGATTCCTTAGCTTCCTTGGTTGTATCACTGCAATCTCTGCCTTCCTCGCATTCTCCCTGTGTGTCTTCACCTTGCCTTCCCCTACATATCTGCCTCTGTGTCTCTTCTCTCATAAAGACACCCATTATGTTGGACAAGGACCTCAGCCCTCTCCAGTAGGACCTCATACCAACTCAACTACATCCGCTCAGATGCCACTTCCAAAGCAAGTCACATTCTGAGGTTCTGGGAAGGACACGAATCCTTGGAGGACACTCTTCAACACAGTATATGTACCAAACAAGGAACCTGAATGAGTGGGGGATAGCTCAGGATCCTCAAAGACAGGAAGGCGGGAGTCAGCCGAAGGGCAATGGGAAGGAGAAAGGAAAATTAACGGTGTGGAATTTTGCCCACTTGGGCAGCTTTCCCAGGGGCCCAGAGGGTGGCAGCTGCTACTGTACCCCATCCTGCTTCCACCCCATTTTCTCAAGTCTGGGCTCCTTTTTTCCCCCTCTGGAGGAAGGGAAGACATTTATTTAATGCTAGAAATCAAACCAGACTATAAATCCAGAGATGGCGGTTCAAGTCATGACTCAGCTGCTTTTAACTTCGTCATCTTGGACAAGTCGTATGATCTGAGCCTGTTTCCTCCTCCATAAAATGAGGATATTGATGTTGACCAAGAAAGGTCCTTCTGGCTCTAGAAGCTATGACTTTAGCAGGAAGAGGTGGAACTATGCCCCCTGAATAGGAGAGTTTCAATAGGACCCTTTGCCATTATTATCTTTTAGCAAGTACATGTATCTATCAGATAGCATTTTTGGTTGCAGAAAACAGAAATTGGTCAGCAGGAGCAAAATGGGAGTTTATTAGAAGGCTATCAGGGGCTGGCGCCAGGAACAGTCTGGTCCAGGGACCCTACTAGGGTGGGTCGCAGCCCCTTCCCCTCCCATCCCCACTCCTTGTTTGCATCTCTTGCTCCAGGGTTAGAATCCTGGGCAAGAGTCTAATCGGAAGTCTTAGGCTTGGGCATGCCTCTCAGCTGTGCTGAGTACAAGCAAAGATAAGATTTCCCTCAAAGGGAGATTGAGTTGCTGATAGAGGAAGGCTTGGATGAGAACCCGTGTCTATCGCCAAGAAGTGTTTGGAGTTCAGGCGAGCCTGAAGATTTTAATAGTCTATTTAGCCACTAGTAACTCTACACTAAAGTTGTTGCTCCATTACTAATATTATTTTAATCTAATGGTTAAGGACTCATATTCTGGAGCCAGAGAGACCTAAGTCTGAATTTCAGCTCTGCCCCATGGTAGCTGTGTGAAAGTTATTTCCTACTTATACACAAGAAGGCTCAGTTTCCTCATCTATAATGTGGAAATGATAATACTGAACTGGTTAAAATTAAAGGAGGTAATATATTCAAAAGCACTTAATGCAATGCCTGGCTCATAAAACATACATTACCTTAGTAACGATAATCCTTCTGGACCAGGCATCAAATTAAGTGGTTTTTTGCATTATTTCATGTAATCTTCACAGCTATCTGACATGGGTCACATCAAAAGCCACTCCCCCCATCCCCACCTTGCTTCTTTACAAGTAGAAACTGAAATTACAACTGAAAACCTTGGTTAAGGTCACACAACTATATGAACTATCAAAAGCCAAGATGCTGACCAGCTCTGACAGACTCAGAAGCCCAGGGTTTGAGCCTATCTGCTGGAGTCAGAGGCACTCAAACCCGGATGCATGGCTGGCTCAGTGCTCACCAGGCCCGCCGCAAGACTCACTGCCAAGGTTTTCTTTCGATCAGATGACAGATCACTACCCCAGACCACTCACCCTCTTTCCCAGGGGGCTTAAAAGAGAGGGGGTGGGGTTGAAAAGTTTGCTTATTATTTGTTATTACTGTTAACCTCTCTGACCATTCTGTTTAGTTTACATTCACTGCAATTAGATATTTGAGAATTGAGTTGCATTTACATCAGGATAACAGTAACAGTACAGGTTTATTCAGGTAAATACAGGTAAGAACTGAAGAGAACACCGGGTCTGGTGAATTACACACAACAAATGACATCAACCTTATATATACTATTCAGTCATAAAAACCGATCGAATCACCTGATAATCCAATTTTTAAATTGTTAATCTAGATTTTGTGTAGATGAATATTGTAATTAGACATTTATAGTAATTAAGATCAATTACTTGAACTTTTTTTTGACTAACAGCTTTATTGAGATCTAACTCATACAAATTCACACTTGAACATTAAGACTTTTCCCTAGCCTTATGTTTCTTTTCTTTTCTTTTTTTTTAAGATTTTATTTATTTATTTGACAGAGACACAGCGAGAGATGGAACACAAGCAGGGGGAGGGGGAGAGACAGAAGCAGGCCTCCCGCGGAGCAGGGAGCCCGGTGTGGGGCTCGATCCCAGGACCCTGGGATCATGACCTGAGCCGAAGGCAGCCGCCTAAGGACTGAGCCACCCAGGCATCCCCTTATGTTTCTTTTTTAAAAGGTCCTGTTAAAGAAATACAACTTTTGGGGCACCTGGGTGGCTCAGTCGTTAAGCGTCTGCCTTCGGCTCAGGTCATGATCCCAGGGTCCTGGGATCGAGCCCCACATCGGGCTCCGTGCTCGGCGGGAAGCCTGCTTCTCCCTCTCCCCACTCCCCCTGCTTGTGTTCCCTCTCTCGCTGTGTCTCTCTCTGTCAAATAAATAAATAAAATCTTTAAAAAAAAAAAGAAACACAACTTTTAAAGTCAACAATACTTCTTTTAATGACACCTACCTTTAATAGGTTTTCATCAAAGATAAGTGAATTTTTTTCCTGTGGCTTCTCATTGACAAAAATAAAATTTACTGTTATTGCTATACGTTAGTGGCACATTGAGCCGATTTCCAAAGAAATGAGTCAAGTTACCAAACGCAACTTTTTATACCACACTACCGTGAAATTCAGCGGCCCAAACAAGAGTGAACTATGGTACAAAACATTAAAAGTACTAAGTGGAAAAGTAGTAGATGGCTTAAAACAAGCAGTAAGCGTGCGCTAGGAAACACATTTGACGATGAAGCCAGAGAAGGGGTGGGGAAGGGCTTCCCTCTTGCGGCCCTGCTCCGGCAGCCGTGCTCGACGGTCCTCGGTCCCTCCCTCCCGGCGGAGACCAGACCCGGGTCACCGCTCCAGGTGGGCGCACCTCGACCGCGCGGAGCCCGCCACCCTGCCGCCGGGGCAAAGGGAGGGCCGGCGCCCCGGGGCCAAGAAGACTTTCTTTTCTGCGCTAGCCACCCGAAGAACTAGCACGGGAGGAGCGGCTGGAGCAGCCCGCACGGGCTAGTGGGACGCCGGGCGGGCCGCGCCTCGGACTCCCCGACTCCAGCCCCCGAACACCCCTCGTCGACGCACAGCACCCCAGCCCCACCCCACGCCTCCTGCACGCTCTCAGAGCCAGCGCGCCCCCGTCCCTCCGACGCCCCTCGCGTCCCCGGACGTCCCCGGCCCCCGGCGCCCTCGGCGCGCCCCGCTCCCCCTCCCCCGACGCCCGCGACCCCGCGCGTCCCCGCCCCCCACCCCCGGACGCCCCCCGCCCGGCCCGCCCCCCGCGCCGGGACGCCCGCCTGCGCCGCGGGCCGAGGAGAGGCCGCGGGGCGGCCCGCTCGGCTCCTCAGCTCCGGCTGGGCGCTCGGGCCCTGGCGCCGCGGCGCGCCCCTCCTGGAGGAGGAGGAGGAGGAGGAGGAGGAGGAGGAAGGAGGAGGAAGGAGGCGGGAGGAGGAGTTGCGGGAGAGGAGGGACGAGCGCGGCAGTCGCGCCGGCGCTGGGCGAGGAAGCAGAGCGGGCCGCCGCCGGGTGAGCGTCTGCGGAGCCGAGTCGGGGGCTGGGTCTGGGCTTTGCTTTCTGCTCCCTCTCCTCCGTAACCCGGGAAACTGGCCGCGGGGGCTGCTTCTCCCCTCGGGGCGGCGGGGGCGGATCCGGCGCGCGCTGGGCTGGGGAGGCCGCCCGGCGCGCCTGCAGCCGAGGGTCCCGGCGGCGCGAGGCCCCGACCGCCTCGGCGGGTCCGCGGGCGGGGGCCGGCCGGCGGGGAAGCGGCGTCCGGGAAGCCGGCCCGGGCGGAGAGCCGGGCCGGGGAGGGCCGAGGCCTGCTTCCGCCGAGCGCCGGCCCGACCCCTCGGCCTCCCCGTCCGCGGCGCGCCGGGCCAGGCCTCCGCCTTTGTTGCCCGCAGCCCCGCCGGGGAGAGGCCGGGGCTCGGCGAGGCCTGGGGCGGCGGCGCGGGGCCTGCGCGGCTCGCACCCCGCCGCCCGGCCCCGTCGGCCGGTCCTTGGGCTCGGGCTCGGGCTCGGGCTGCGGTCCAGGGGCCAGAGGGCGGGCGGGCTCGGGAGGGCCCAGGCCGCGTCGGTGCCGCCGCCGCCGCCCCCGCCGCCCCCGCCGCCCCCGCCCGCCGGGAGGTCGCGCCGGGCCCCCAGTGTGTGCCGCGCGTGACGGAGCCGCTGGATGTGATTTACTCACGCGGATGTGGGGGCTGTGGGCTTTTAAACAGCCCCTGGAACCGAGGCGGGCCTTAATTTTCAATTTGCTTCAGGAGTTGGCAACTTCAGGGACACCATCGTGGCTCATTTTGTAGCACAACTATTGACATTTCTCGGTGGCAGGTCCTGGCACAAAACTTGGAATGTGTGCAGCAGGCTGGATGCCAACTTCACCTTTAGTCGGAATGTGATATTTGGGGTTCCCGTCCCCGCTTTTTGGAATTAAGGGCCAGGTGGGAATATGTGATAAAACTCAGGCTTCCGGTCACGAAATCTATAACGTTGACTTCAGTTCAGCAAATGTTTCTGGAAGTGGACGTGTAGCCTGGATGAGGCAACATGCCACTGTGTGTGAGGACGGAGAACGTAGTAATCACGATGAAAATGTGAATGAGACATCACACGTTTCCCCAACACGTTTTTAATTGCCTCTGTTACTTGGAATACGGATATATGTGTGATCAAACAAAAGTCAGCTGCCATCTACTTCAAGACGAAATGTCTGAGGTGTTCTCAACCAAAGGAGAGGGTTGAGACTTTTAAAACCCCAACAAATAACACGAAATCCACTTAGCTTATTTGAATGAATGAATTTTAAATCGAATACTTGGTGCTGTCGAGAATCGTCGTTATTTAAAAACATCAGTGGTATTGTTTACCAAGTTTCACAGATAAAGCAGGAAAATGTAGCCTGTGATATTTCTCTTTTCCTGTGTGCCTCCTAATTTTTCTTCACTGCTGTATCGTCTACGTGGATGCGGTAACTTTGAGAATCCCTGTTCTAAACACAGTATGTCACCTCCACCCCTTGGTTCCAGTACCTTCCCTGATGTTTTCTCCTTGCCTTTGGGGAAGCTGGCTCACGGACCGTCCACTTGATAACGATTCTCAGAAGAACTTATTATCTGGAGTTCCGCAAGTGCTTTCCACTGTTTGATCTGGTTCAGGATGAGCCTTTACCCTTTTTAGGTCTCTGTTCAGCATCTCTTTTGAAATATTTTTCCCTTTATTATTTTTAAATGCCTTCTAAATTGGTGGGCGGTACCTGGCACTGTCCCTTCCACCTTCTTTTAGTGGGAAGATAGGGCCCGCCTTAAACAGCCTCCCCGGAACCCAGGGGCACACCCTCTGGCACCCTACCAACCCAGCACCTTGCAGGGAGTGGTGGAGAAGGGGTTTGGGTGACCTTGACCTGGGACGTCAGTAGCCTACGTGGGCTGTGCCATGACCTGGGAGGAAAAGCTCTGCTGTGCTGACTGGATTCCTACCCATTTTGCCATCCGATTGACTATTCCTTTTAACGGCCCTCTTTTTGGGGAACAGAAGCAAGTGTCTGCTTATGTCTTGTTATGTAACTTCACTCCCCAGAGAAAACGCTGGTAGTTTTCTCCGTTGTGGTCAGTTTTCAGGAAACTTCTGTGTTATTAATAGCAAGTATCTTTGGGGCGCCTGGGTGGCTCAGTAGGTTGGGTGGCTGCCTTCGGCTCAGGTCATGATCCCAGGGTGCTGGGATTGAGCCCCGCGTGGGGCTTCTTGCTCGGCGGGGAGCCTGCTTCTCCCTCCACTCTGCCTACAGCTTCTCCTGCTTCTGCTCTCTCTCTCTCACTCTTTCTCTTTCTATGTGTCAAATAAATAAATAAAATCTTTAAAAAAAGCAAGTATCTTTTATTTTGCTCATAGAAGTAATTGTGTGATCTTATTTAAGAGTCACAATTTAGTCTGAAAAAAGGAAATATGTACATTTCTGAATTTGTGGCAATTACTGTTCTCTCAAAAATATGCAGTCATGTGGAATGGGTTGATACACAACTGTGTTGACTATGAGGTCAGATAACCTCATGTTATTTATATATAGTTTAACTAATGGATGTGTGTGCATTGAGTTTAATACTCATTAGCGGTAGGTAGGTAAGTAAATGACCTAAGCTAATATCACTGTTTGCTATTGTGTTTGTTGCATCTTTTATGGGACATGAAGATTATTTCAGTTCTTGGTCTTCATCCCTAATCTTTTTCCAGTTTTGGAAATGGCACATCTGTGGTGCCTGAGTATTTCTGTAAAATTACTCCTTTTACAAGGGAGAAATTTATAAAAACTAGTGTATGTCATAAAAAGGGGACCTTTCTTGTATGACTAGATTGATCGAAAGAGTAGTTCCAATAGTAAAAACGAAACAGCATTGGGACATGTTTTAAATTGTATTGACTGAGATTGTCATTAACGTTTTTGTGGTTAATCTGTTATTCTGTACAGTAGGTTGGTTTAGCTAATAAGTAGTGAAGGCTTTGGAACTAAGGGCACATTTTACTTTAAACTGACTTCAGGGTCTGTGATGATGCATACAAACATTAAATTTTACTGAATGGGGCAATTATTTTTAGGTGGCCGTTGGTCTCATTGATGTTTCAAGAATGGATGTACTCAGGGAGCCTGGGTGGCTCAGTTGGTTAAGCGACTGCCTTCGGCTCAGGTCATGATCCTGGAGTCCCGGGATCGAGTCCCGCATCGGGCTCCCTGCTGAGCAGGGAGTCTGCTCCTCCCTCTGACTCCCCGCTCTTGTGCTCTCTCTATCTATCTCATTCTCTCTCTCAAATAAATAAATAAAATCTTTAAAAAAAAAAAAAAAGAATGGTTGTACTCAGATAAAGTCGTTTAGGATTTGAATTCTCGTGTTGCATACTGAGGACCTTTTGGAGGTGTTTGATCTTTAGTATACATTGCTAGCTTTGTGACCTTGAACACTTTTTTTTTTTTTTAAGATTTTATTTATTTGACAGAGACACAGCGAAAGAGGGAACACAAGCAGGGGGAGTGGGAGAGGGAGAAGCAGGCTTCCCGCGGAGCAGGGAGCCCGGTATGGGGCTCGATCCCAGGACCCTGGGATCATGACCTGAGCCGAAGGCAGACGCTTAACGACTGAGCCACCCAGGCGCCCCTTGAACACATTTTATGTTCCCTCCGAGTCTTACTCCTTCTGTGGGGCTCAAGTGAGGTTAATAAATCCACCTGACAGATTTATTGTGAATATATGTTTTGTTTAAAGTAAAATCCAAACTCTCCACCATGGGCTACAAGATTTCTGCCCAGTTCTTCCGTTCATCTTGAGCAGCCCTGTCTTCCTCACCACAGAGTTACCCTCTACCCTTTCTATTCCCTCACACTCCAGGCTGCTTCTGGCCTCCTCACCTTTGACATGTAGTTGTTTGCCTAGAGTGTTGTTCTTATGCTTAGTTCATTGTCCGATCTTAATGCCAGGTTCACTGCATCAGGAAAGGCTTTCCTGACTACTCTTATAGCTCCTTCAGGAGCCCCATCTTATCAGTTTGTATGTTTTCATCATAACGTTTACTGCAGTGTATAACTATTTTGTTTATTTCTTTTGGTCTTTCTCCTCTTCCAAGTCCCACGTGGGCAGAATGTGGTCTGTGGTTCTGTGTCTCCCTAACACATCCCATGGGGACATGGCGTACAGAAAGTGCTTGTAGTTTTTACATTGTTATGTACACACTAAAGGCAAGGATGTGCTGTGTAGATGGTAGAAATCTGTTGGTTTTTTTGTGTTGCTTATTCCCATCTGAGCTGATCTCTTCAGCTGAATAAGTCATAGCCCTAATAAGGCCAACATTCTTGTAACTTGAGGGCCCAAGTCACCCTACACAGGGAGAGCTGTTTTGTTTTTTTTTTAAGTCAGCTCTACTCCCAACATGGGTCCCAAACTCACGACCCCCAGATCAAGAGTTGCATGTTCTACTGACTGAGCCAGGCAGGTACCCCAGGAACTGTCTTTACCTGTAGAGCCATAATGTGGGTCTGAGTTCCTTCAAGTGTCCAACTGTCCAGTCACGAAGATGCACAGGCCTTCCTCACTTCTGGAAGTGTAGTTATCTATAGTGTGTGGAGAGTAACAACTCGAAAGCACACTTCCTTGATGTTAGCTCACATAGCTTGATAAGGTAAACCCTTCCTTATCTGGAAGCCCTGGCATCCTCAGTTATGTGATGCGGAATTCAGCAGGAGGGAAAAACCTCATTTGGAATCAGACAAGTAGGAGGCCTAGATAGCTAACTGGCTGATGAAGGCGGGGTTTCATAGGGATGCGGATCTAGGTTTGAATTTCAGCTCTGTGACTTTATAGGGTAGGTTTTTAAAATAAATTCTGTCTTATTTGCTTTATCTGTAAAATGTAATAGTGGCTTTCTCAGCATTGTTGTGGAAATTAAACAAGAAAATGTACATAAATGTGTGGATTCAGTGCCTGGAATATTACAAATGCTAATATTAATACTCAGTTTAGGGGCATCTGGGTGGCTCAGTTGGTTAA